GCCTCGCCTTTGCGCCCAGCGCAGTGTTGGAGGGCAGTCCCTCCTGCCGGGGATGGGCTGTGGGGAGGCTGGGGAGCTTCAGGTTTTTAATCAGCACCAGCCCCAGCGAAGGCAAAGTGTGGCGCTGCGGGGTGGGCGTGGATTTCAGGCCGAGCACTCACGGGCGGCTGCCTGCACTGCTGCTTCCGGATGGCCCCAGGAGACAGTGCCCACGGCCCTCTGTATCCTGTGGCCTGGCTCAAGGGCTTCAGTCCACCCAGTGCCACCCCACTGGGGGCAAAAAAAGCAATAATGTCCAGGGACAGGCAGGGGGTCCTTGGGAGCTGTGGGACCAGGGGTTCGGCACTCCTTGGACCTATGTTGTAGGGAACCAGGAAGGAGGTGTGCCCACCCCCCCAACTGCAGCTGCTCTCCTGACCTGTGGGTAAAGCAGAAGCAACTTTTGGGGGCAGCCGCCTGCCCTGCCCCCAGCCCCGTGCCTTACCAGGGCTGCCGTCCAGCAGGCCTTACCTCCCGCTGGACCCCAAACCTGGCCCAGCCCCTTGGAGGGTAGGATCTAGGGTCGCCCCTTCTTTCTGCCTGGGGCAGAGGGGCACCAGCCTCAGCTGTACACATCTCTCCCAGAGACAGAATTGGGCCCTGTGGACTCGGGTCAAGGAAGGAGCGGGGCGGGCGTCTCTGGTACACACTGCGGTGCGGGAGCCTTAGCAAATGGTTTCAGGCCCCTCCCCCTCCCCTCCCCCAATCCAGGGCCGCGTTCTGAAGCCTTAAGGTGCGTGCTGCCGATGGAGCCGCGGGTGTCCCCGCCTCTGGGATGCAGACGCACGTGGCTGTGTGTGCACGTGTGTGAGGGCAGCGTGTCCAAGCCCTCAAGTGTGCGTGGTGTGTGTGGGCTCAGGCCCCGCCCCGGCCCCAGCGCTTCATTCCCCTGGGGGTGAGGGCGCCTTGCTGCCCTGCCCCCTCGCCTCCCCCCTCAATCTCAATGTCCTGGCGTGTTTGGAATTTAGTTTTTGTGATTTTGATCTCCCTGTCCCACCTCCTGTACTAGGCAGTTCTCAGAAAGGCATGTGGGGGTAGGGTGGCTTGGGCCTGGGGGGTCTTTTTTTCCTTTCTGTGTGTGTATGTGGTTTATCTGACAATTCTTCCCACCCCCCACTGGCCTTATTCCCTATATTTGTACGGTACAAGCAATAAAGACACTCATTTTTAAAAAAAAGAAGTATGTAGTCTCCAGAGGGTAGAGATAATATTGCTTACACCACACCTAGCTCCCTTCCAAACACTTAACAATCCCTAGAAAAAGAGCCCTCGTGGGTATTCTACTCAGACACCCTCCTCGCTAGCGCTAGCGGGAGCTTTACTTCCTTGCCTTTCTATTTTTACTTCCTTCCTTGCCTTTGTATCTTTTGCCTCTTAAATAAACTTGCTTGTGCCCCACCCTCCTCCATCTTGGTGGCATTCTTTGTGGCCGTGGGACCCGAGGCCAATGTTCCAGGAACGCTCCTGTAGCCGGGCCCGCTCTGGCCCCTGTGAGGACCAGTGAGCTAACAGAGAAGCTCTCTGCACTGTCCCGGCCCTGTGGGACCCTCTTCTTTCTCTTCCCCGCCAGACCAACTCCTCTTCCTCCTTGGTGTTAGTTGGTTCTCCTCAGCATACGCGGCTCTTTCAGTAGCCCTCACCTCACCAGTAATCCCCTCTGCATGTCTGGCTCCCTCGCTAGACAGTCTATCCTGCCCGCCGTGTATCCTGTGGCTGTGCAACAGGGCTTAGCATAAGAGCAGGTGCTGAGTGCCGTGTGTGTGTGTGTGTGTGTGTGTGTGTGTGTGTGTGTGTGTGTGTTCATTTGTTGGGTGAATAAATGAATAAGCTGACACTGTAAAATTCTGATGATCACATGGGCAAAGGAAAGCTCATTAAAGAATATGAGAACAGCCAGGCATGGTGGCGCATGCCTATAATGCAGCACT